TTTGCATTTGAAATATTCATCAGGAGTGTTGACTAAAAATTTTTCTAAAGCTGATTGCCCTGCACTTTGCAGCGCCTGCTGACACCGTGTCATGAAACCCCGCGGCTGGCATGATACCAAGATCAGTGGCGACACTTGTGGTGTCGCAGCTCCATCAGTCATTTAGAAAAGTAAAGCTTTTCTTATGGCACACAAAATACACAAACGGGCCACAAAGAGGGCACCAGAAACTCAGCCCAGAGATGGCCCAACTGACATGCAGCAAGGGGGGAAATGGAAAAGCCAGTCCTGGTTATATTTAGAGCCCTGGGTGGATACAAAATTTGTATCTGCATCCGATCCACAAAAACGGTCCATGGATATAAAACTGGTATCTGCGGATTTGCAGTGCTCTAGGTGCGTTAGGGTTTGGGTAGATGGAAATTTAAACCCAAACCAAAAACCCCCTAGCTTGTTTGCCACCCACAAGATTAATGGTCAGTTGGGCTGGATACAGAGAGGACAAAAATGCTGTGTGACTTTAGTCCATAAATCAAACAGCACATTGCCGCTAATAGAGATAATGGGAACAGAGCAATACAGAGATATTACCTGCCCGGTTTAACATGTCGAACACCACTTCAGAAGGTGTCCTGTGGTGTCGTTGCACTCTGAGACTCACTCTGGGACCAGGCTATTTTCTTACTGTACCTACAATTCAGAGAGTAGCTCTATGGCACGAGTGCTCTGAGCGGGAGTGCCGAGCTTTGCCTGTGCACATTCGGAACATTTGCTGTGCAGAGTCTGTTTTAGGAAAATCACTTCTTTTCTGCTCGGGAATTGTCAGCAGCTTCTCATTTTCTTGAATTTGTTACTGCACATTATTCACCAACAGTTCTGGCAAATAATGCCTGACTGGGAGAGTGGGCATGAGTGTTTTCATAGAATCAGAGAATACCAGGGATGGAAGGGACCTCAGGGTCATCTAGTCCAACCCCCTGCTCAAAACAGGACCAACCTCAACTAAATCATCCCAGCCAGGAGATTCCACCACCTCCCTAGGTAACCCATTCCAGTGCTTCACCACCCTCCTAGTGAAAAAGTTTTTCCTAATATCCAACCTAGACCTCCCCCAC